ATTATTATTATTATTATTATTATCAACACTATTATTGTTATCAACATTATTATTATCGTATGGAGAAATCCGTAAAGCCCCAAACAACCACTGGTTCTAAAAGTTTTCCTGTTATTTTTTTTTTTCGCCTTCGAGACAATTTGTCTAGTTTTTCATGAGACTTTGTTTCAATTTTATTATGTTTTTTATATTTGACATTTTTACTATTACATATATATATAATAGTAAAAATATATATATATGTAAATGTATAATATCCTCCACTGGGAGTTCAGCCTTTAGTTTGTGATAATAATAATAGGATTTTGTTCTCATCCTGATGTGCAGTAGTTGGTTCCATAATTCCTTATTCTGGTTTTTTTCTTGCTTTTTTTGCGGTTCGTTTTCCCTCCCTCTCAGTCGTCAATTTTCATAATGATAAAACGAACATTTGAATTGGATTTTTGCTGACTGAAAGATAGGCGTATTTGTATAACACATAAAAATATGGGGAATAAATGAAGAAGTTATAGAGTTCTGATAGTTTAAAAATTTTTTTTTTTCATTTATTTTGAGATGCTACGGATTATTATAGTTACAGGTTTTCAGTTTATTTATAACTGTACTGATTAGTCAAAACGATGGATCAAAGAGGATTATGAAATCTGGAAGTCAAAATTTACAATAGTACACCAGATATTTTTTGCAGTGTCAGATGTTTCTAGGATTAAATGTTTTGGGATTTTTTTTTTTTTTTTTTTCTGAGGGAGAGAAGCGTGTGATAGGCTATTGTCTCTTATGACACCAGAAGAGTATACAGTGGTGAACAAACCATAATATTTCAGTGAAAATTGTAAAAAAATGACTCCTAAAACTCGGGAACTATGTCTTCTTTTTTGTTCTTGGAAGGTTCTGTTAGCTGAAAAATCATTTGCGTTTTGCATTTACTTATGGTTTTAATTTGGATTCGTCGAGAAATTAGTGAATACTCGGTGATATTGAAGAGAGGTTTTCACACGGTATAGGTTCCCAGTTCAGTCCGCTTCATTTCAGTTGTATATGCGTTGCTAAATAAAACTTTTAAAGTCACTGAAAGGGATACGAACGGCTGGCAGATGCTGATTGGTCCACGCCCTTCGAAAAGATTAAAAACAAGCGATAATGATGAGATATCTTCGGAGAAACGACTAATTGTAATTTTGGAAAATTGTTCTTTAGAAAGTGCCAAGGTTAGTAATATTGCAAAGGAGGGATTAATTTGAAATATTGAAATTATTACATGTAGCAAAAACGTGCTGGTTTGCAGCAAAATTGCTTGAAGTTATAGGTTGGTAAGGATTACGTGATTCTTTCGAGTGACCGACATGCAAATTTTTTGAAAAGCCATAAAAAGGATCCAAATGACTACCGTCCAGATATATTACATCAAGTTTGTTTTAATTTCATCTTGTATCTTCATTAAAATTTTTATGCGACTGAAACTCAGACGGATTTACTGGTGATTTTAGAATTGGGAGCTGTGTATTTATGTTTTATAATTCACTTCTTAAGGAAGCTATGCTTTGCAGAAAGAGGATAATGGTTAAAAAAAATAATTCTTACTTTTGGATAAGTCAAGTGGTGACTTTTTCGTAACTTTCCCTGAGCTACTTGTTGCAGTTGTAGGTTTGTGTATCTCTGATTTAAGTACT